AGGAGAGAGGGGGGAGGAGAGAGGAGAGAGGAGAGAGGGGAGAGGGGAACGGGGAGACAGGGGAGAGGCGAGAGGAGAGAGGAGGAGGAGAGAGGACAGAGGAGAGAAGAGAGAAGCGAGAGGAGAGAGTCGAGAGGAGAGAGTTGAGAGGAGAGAGGAGAGAGGAGAGAGGAGAGAGGGAAGAGGAGAGAGGAGACAGGAGAGAGGAGAGAGGAGAGATGAGAGAGGAGAGAGGAGCGAGGAGCGAGGAGAGAGGAGACAGGAGAGAGTAGAGAGGAGAGAGGAGGAGGAGGAGGAGGAGGAGGAGGAGGAGCAGGAGGAGCAGGAGGAGGTGGAGGAGGAGGAGCAGGAGGACCAGCACGCAGTTGGATAATGAGTTCGGGCCACCTGTCCTCTTGGGCGGGACGGCCTCTGCCTGGCCTGGGCTGCCTCTCTGAGCAGCTGTGCCAGCGGCACGGGAGGGAGTCTGAGCACAATCGGACTGGCGGCGGCACACTTGGGGTGACGGCCAGACTGTGCTCTCTGCAGTGAGAAACCCGACGACCCTCCGGGGGCCTTTCAGACACTCCATTACAGACCAGGGAAGCACCAGAGAATGGCTCGACTACTTGATCTTGCTGTCTATCAAGATCTATCACATACACCCACAGATCAGTGAGAAGCGGGATACGGTCGATATCGAATTGAATTGGGCGAAGGACGTAGCCTCCGCCGCTCTCCTGCGCAGGGAAGCACCAGGGGTATGACTGGCTCGTCGACCTGCTGGCGGCACAGAAATCCGCTCCTTCTCAAGGAAGGTTTCCGAAGACATGCTTGTCACCCGCGAAACAGGATACAACAGAGATGCACAGACACAGCATGCAGCGAGCACTGAACAAAGAACAAACACATTCTCTGATCTTGCAGCAGCTGCGTACAACAATAACTATCTCAGACTTCAGTGAATGCGGGCCACGCTACTCGCGGCCTCCATAGCTTGTAACTGAAGCTATTGAACTTGCTTTTATAACGTGGCTTCATACAGAAAGAGACAAAGTCTAGTCGGACAGGCGTGCAACTATCAATCTTCATGTTGTAATGTCGGTCGCCTTCTCCTTCAACGAAATGAACATCTGCTTTCTCTATCTCCGCGCTCTGATTGCCGAAGGACAGCCAGTTTTCTCCAGCGCGGTACTTCCAGCTAGTGGTGTCGATCTGCTCCTGAACCACCTCGGAATTTACCTCTATGGCGTCGTCGTAGGGGGGTCGCCTCATCGAAAGGCTCCGTGCCCAGCAACTGCTCCTGGACCTCCGCCTGGCTGCTGAAGCCGTCGTGCAGCTTCTCCAGCACAACCTGCTCTACCTGCACATGGTCCTCCTGGGTCGCTTCTGGCGCCTCAATCGCCTCCTGGTTGGGCGGCTCCGCAGCCCGCTCGGCGGCGAACTGCACCACGGAGGAGGACGAGGAGGAGGAGGAGGCGGAGGAGGAGGAGGAGGAGGAGGAGGAGGAGGAGGAGGAGCAGGAAGCGTAGAATGAGGAGGAGGATGAGGAGGAGGAGCAGAGCCGACTAGACGTAAGAGCGACCTTTCGCCGGAGAGTGACCTTTGGTGCGGGCCCATCGGGTTTCCCCCGATCCCTGAGCGCGATGCGATACTGGCTGCTTGCGCGCTTGGGTTTTGCCCCCCTCGCGCCCCCTCAGAAGCCGCGCACAGAAGATCACTCTTACCCAGGGTCGCTTCTGCGTGTATCCGAAGGAGGAGGAAGAAAAGGCGAAAAGAGGAGGATGAGGCGGAGGAGGGGGAGGAGGAGGAGGAGATGGAGGAGGAGGAGGAGGAGCAGGAGGAGGAGGAGGAGGAGGAGGAGGAGCAGGAGCAGGAGGAGGAGGAGAAGGAGGGGGAGGAGGAGAGGAAGAGAGGAGGAAGATGAGGAGGGTGCGGGTTGCAGACCACACCCCCTGCGACAGCCGCGCCCCTCGGAGTCGCCGAAGAGGTGCTGGCGCTCCGCCCCTCCGCGGGGCATCTCCGGGCCAGCCCAGCGCGCCGTCGCTCCCAGGGCGCGCCCAGGGCGAGCTGCGGAGGCGACGGCGACGGCGTCGACGACGACGACGACGGCGACGGCGACGGAGACGACGACGGAAACGGCGATGGCGACGACGACGGAGACGGCGGCGGCGACGACGTCGACGACTACGGCGGCGACGAAGACGACGACGACGACGACGACGACGACGACGACGGCGGCGACGACGACGACGACGACGGCGGCGACGACCGACGGTGGGGATGTCGGCGGGGCGGTACCGCGCGCTCGGCCCTCCGCGTGTCTCGGGCATTGCCACGGGTGGGGTGGGGGGGGGGGTCTCCATTGGGGTTAAATCGGGCCTGTCCCATAAAAAAACTCGCGACAGGAGGTTTTTTGCAATTTTCGGCCTCCAGGGGGGCACCTCCTGGGCCCCGGGGCCGCACGTTTTTGAACGTTTTGCGAAGCTCCGCGTGCCACAGAGAGGGCCCTCCCAGGTAGGGTCTGCGTAGATGGGGGTCCGAGGGCCGCGCCACATCGCAGATGCATCGGCGATGCGGCTCGATGCGGAGCCCGATTTTCTCCACGCCGACGTCGCCGATGCATCGCCGACGTTGACGATGCATTGCCGATGCTGTGCGATCCTCCGACCCAGTCTCCTCGGACCCTCTCTGGGAGGCCTCGAACCGCCACCGCTGGATTCGCCTCCAAATCCTGGTTATAACAAGAGATGGACTACATAATTGATTTACCCCAGATCTGTTTTTTCCCCTCACGCATCCACGAATAGATACGTAGCGCGTACGCAGATCTACGAGCACTCCTAGCTCTTGTCTGCGAAGATTCGGCGACAACAAACACTTGCAGGTATAATTGATGCTGTAGTTGTTCGATGTCCTACTCGATGTTGGGCCGCCTCGGGGCACGGGGGGGCTTCGTGGGGGGGGATGGGCTTCGTGGGGGCCTCTAAGGGGCCTTCTCCCTGGAGCTTCGTCGGGCTTCTTGGGGGGCATCCTTGGGTGCCTCGTCTGGCCCCTTGGAGGCGTCAAGGGAGCCTCATGGAGTTGCTCTGGGGGCTATCTGGAACTATTTTGAGGCTGTCTGGAAGCCTGTGGGCCCCCTCTCAAACACCGATCTCGCTGGGGGACGGCTCCGGCCAGCAGCTCGAGAGGGGGATCGGGCCACCATGGCGACGAGAGGCCTCCTGGGGGGCTCCCTGAGGAACGTTTTCGGAAGGTCTCTTCCAAGAGCCTTCCAGCCACCTTCTCCAGGAAGGTTTTTGGAGGAGGTTTTTGGAAGGTTTTTCCACCAGAGAAACGTTCTCTGGAAGTCTTCCCCAGCAGGGTTTTGGGGCGGCTTCTTCCGGTTCTGAGAAGGAGGAGCCTTAGGCCTTAGGAGGAGGAGGAGGAGCCTTAGGAGGAGGAGGAGGAGGAGGAGGAGGAGGAGGAGGAGGAGGAAAAGGAGGAGGAGGAGGCGGATGAGAAGGAGGAGGAGGCGGAGGAGGAGGAGGAGGCGGAGGAGGGGCCTCTGCCGGGCCCCTGCTGCAGCCCAGGCGTGCTCGCGCCGCGATCCAAATCGCGACGGGAGGCACCGGGCCCTGCTCGGCCGATCGCCACAGGACACAGGAGAGACCGGCCCGAAGCAGGAATGGCCCTTGCTGCACGGCGGGGCCCGGCGAGGGGAGGAGAAAGGGGGGAGGAGGAGGAGGAGGAGGAGGAGGAGGAGGAGGAGGAGGAGGAGGAGGAGGAGGAGGAGGAGGAGGAGGAGGAGGAGGAGGAGGAGGAGGAGGAGGAGGAGGAGGAGGAGGAGGAGGCGGAGGAGGAGCGCAAGGTGTTGGGACGGCTTCTTCCGGTTTTGAGAAGCTCGTGGCGACGAGAAGCCTCCTGGAGGCTCGGGGCGGGCGAGGAACGTCCAAGCCATGGGGCTTCGATCCTCGAGCCCCGATCTCCACCTTCCGGCGGCGAGCCCCGGGGGGGGGAAGTGGGAAGGAGAAGGCCTTCCCAGGAGGCCCTCAAAGAAGGCCTCCCCAGGAGAAGGCCTTCCCAGGAGAAGGCCTTCCCAGGAGAAGGAGAAGGCCTTCCCAGGAGAAGGCCTTCCCAGGAGAAGGCCTCCCCAGGAGAAGGAGAAGGAAGCCCCCCAAAGCCCTCAAAGAATTTGTCTCGGCCTTCCCCGAAGACGCGAAGAGCTTGTCAGAAGGCGCAAGGGCTTCTGAGGAGTCCCGCCAGTTTCTGAGAAGGCCTTCTCCTTCTCATTTCCCCCCCTCGCTCGCCTTTTCCGCTCCTCTCCAGAATGGGTACACCGGGCCACCCCTCCTGTTGGGCAACCTCATCTTTCCCCTCTCACGGCGGGGACAGAATGGTCACCCCTCTTGGCGGGGACCTGATTGGTCGCAGTTCATTTTGGGGGCCGGCAGTGGTGCACTGCCCCCCATTCTCAGATCTAGGGGGCAACGTTACGGGGGATGCGCTCAGGGCACGAGGTTCGAGGCTCGGGGGGTTCAGACGTTGTCCAGCCTCGGAGTGCTTCTCAGCAGCTGCGCCTCGCCGTAAGCGTTCAAGAGGCGGCTCCCCGAGTTCCCCTTTTACTACGCCCCCCCCCCTCGCGGAGGAGGACAGCGAGCATAGCCATCCCGGTCCTGCCTCCCCACACCTTGTTCCTCCCCCTCCATGCGGCCGGGAAAACGAGCAGCGGAGCAGGCAGGGAGAAGGCAGACGTGCACAAAGATTCGATTCCTACTGTCACCCCCCGCCCCAGGAGAGCTGGACGCCGAGTGGGTGGCTCTCCAGCACAGCTCCGCAGAAGACGCCCAGTGGGGCCCCGTCGAGTCCGCATGCAGTCCCGCTGCCAGCGGCCTCAGGGACATGCTGGTCGCGCTCGAGGGGCGGGTGCGCCAGGTGGCGCAGACAAGCCTGGATGTGGACCCCGAACAGGAACAATCGCCAGGCGGCCGCGACCAGGATCCGCAGAGGGCACCTGCACAACGCCGCGCGTTGCCGGGGGTCCTCCTGAGCCCCGAGCGCGATGGTGCATAGACCCTCCTGGCTTCGGCCCTGGCCTCGGCCAGGGGTCGAAGAACAAACAATCGCGTAAACACAAGTTTTTTTTTTTTTCAAATGCGCGGCTCCCCGGGGCATGGCTTCCCTCCCTGGGCCGCTTCTCGACGGCCCCGGCCCCCCCGAGGCCCGACCTCTGCACACGAGTGGCCCTGCGCCGGCGCCATGGGGGGCGGGTCCACAGGCCTTTCGGCAATGGCCTGCGCGCGTGGCTCCGCCCCTCTCCTCCTTCTCATCCGCCTCCTCCTCTCCTCTCCTTCCTTTCCTCCTCTCCTCCTCCTCCTCCTCCTCCTCCTCCTCCTCCTCCTCCTCCTCCTCCTCCTCCCCCCTTTCTCCTCCCCTCGCCGGGCCCCGCCGTGCAGCAAGGGCCATTCCTGCTTCGGGCCGGTCTCTCCTGTGTCCTGTGGCGATCGGCCGAGCAGGGCCCGGTGCCTCCCGTCGCGATTTGGATCGCGGCGCGAGCACGCCTGGGCTGCAGCAGGGGCCCGGCAGAGGGGCCCGGCCGCCCGCTCCCCGAGAGCGGCCTCGGGGGGTCGAGCGCTGTCCGCTGGACAGTGGGAGGCCCCGAAAAGCTTTGGAACCGCAGGGGTTCTCATTGGCAAAAGCAGCGACGGCGGCCAAAAGCAGCGCCCGCCGTGATGCTAATTGCACGGCGCCAGCACGCCCGGCGCAGGGGTTCCCTTTTGGCAAAAGCAGCGACGGCGGCCAACGCCCGCCGTGATTTTTTGCACGACGCCAGCACGCCCGACTGCCAGAGGAGCGCGGCGCGGAGGAGCACGCCCGCCAGCTCAAGCAGCAGGCCAGCGCGGCCGTCGAGGCTGTGGGCGGCGTGCTCCTGCGGCGCTGGAGGCGGCATCTCGCGGAGGACAAGGCCTGGAGCCTCCGGCGGCTCGGGCAGCTGGAGGAGCCGAGGGAGCAAAGATCGGCAGGATGGAAATTTGGCGGCGAGCTCAAGGGGGGAAGTGGGGTTCGAGGTTCGAGGTTCCAGGTTTTCTGGTGTTTTCGTTGGGCCTCGTCGGTGTTCCCGCCGCGGGGTGCTCCCCAACAGCTGCGCCTCGCCGCGAGCGTTCTGGGGCTGCCCGTATCGTCCCGAACGGCCGGAGACTCGAGTTATAGGACCCGAAAACCTCAAACTCGGCGGCGAGCGCGGGGTAAGTGACGCGGGGGGGGGGGAGGGGCCGCGGGGTAGAGGGCTCGGAGGGCCTCTGGCCTCCCGGGAGGTTTTCTGAGCCGCCTCCGAAGACAGACGGCTTCTCGGAAGGCCTGAGGGCTGCTGGGAAGCTTCGCCGCCCTCTGAGAAGGCCTGCCCGCTCTCGCTGCCTCCCGCGCGCGCCGCCGAGAAGCGAGCACGGAAACGCTGGGCATACGTACGAAGACCGGCAGCAGTTTTTGCCCGTTCTGAACTGGGCTCGCTGTCGGTGTCGCTGCGGGTGCGGCCCATTCCAAGCGAAAGGTCGCCTGGCCAACAGCGGCCGCTGTCGGTGTTGGACAAGACTTGCTGCTGGGTATCGTGCAATTTGCCGTACCCATACCGGTTACCTCATCAATTGCATACCCAAGCCCTCGCAGTTGCGGGCAAGAGTGATGGGACGGTCGGGACGATCGTCGGCGGTCTAAGTGGATCGAAAGGAAATTTGATGAAGGCCGCCGCAGGCGCCGATCTTTTGCGCATAGCTCATCGAGCCCGCCGCAGGCGCCGATATCTAGTCCACGCAATGTGGATGGGGCGCGGGCGGGTCGCGGGTAATTCACGGGGGAGGGGGATGCGGGTAAGTCGTGGTTGGGTCGCGAGTGGGTCGCGGGTGGGTCGCGGGGTGGACGACGACGACAAAACATTAATCAGTTTATGATTGTTCGGTCTAACTTGTCCGCGCGCCATTCAACACGTATACCCTAAAACCTCGATGTGCGCCCTCTTCGTTTTCCATCGTACCCCCTTGGAGAAGCATCTTCTTTACCTGCCGCGTGTAATTGGTACAACCCATGAAAAGAGGGGAGGAGAGGACGGATGGAAGGGGGAGGGAGGAGGATGGAGCTTGAGAGAGAGTAGCTGGAAGGGGGTTAGGAATAGAAAACACATGTCAGAGCCAGACAAGCCCATCGGGCGGGTAGACCCTAACGGGCGTGTCGGGGAGGCAGGCCCATGCGGCTTGGTCGAACAGGCGGGTTGTTGAAGAGTGAGCACTGCATGGATCGCAAGGAAGTCTCGAGTGGTAGCGCGATTCCCAAGTAACTCGTGTGACAAGGCAAAGCGAGAGCATGATTCCTAAGCGTCGAGGGCGCAGCGTCCGAATCATTTGCGAGGACGTGCCGCGCGAGACCGCGAGTCCTGCATACATTCTGAAGGTGTCCCAGTCGAGCGCACGAGGCAGGAGCAGTTGTTAGTGTAGGTCGGGGGCCAGGGGTCTAATCTGAGGAGGAAGAATTTCCCTTGTAAACAAACAGGGGGGTGCGAGACCCGGGAGGAGCACATCAATGAAACACATGAGGTGCACATGAGGTGGGATCAACAATACTTGCTTTTTGTTTAAGGTGAGAACTTATTGGCAACAACGACAACACTCATTTAAACACTATTCGCTCTTACCTGCTCGCGTGCCATTCAACACGTATACCTGAACCCCCCCATGCGCCCGCCCTCTTCGTTATCGATCCGACCCCCCTGGAGGTACATCTTCCTTACCTGCCGATGGTAATTTATACAGCCCCTGGAACAGGGGAAGAGAGGATTGATGGAATGGGGAGGCAGAAGGAGGGAACACGGGGTTCGCAGGAAGGGGGCTAGAAGCAGAAAACACGTGGCAGAATTTGACGGGCCCATTGGACAGGCAGACCCTAACGGCGGGTCGGGAAGCCGAGCACAAGCGGCCAGGTCAAAAGTCGTATTGCTGAAGCGTGTGTATTGCATGAATCGTGAGGAGAGCTCGCACGATGGCGCGATCCCCAAGGACATCGTGAGGAAGGGCCGACAGCGTGATTCCCGAGTGTCAGGAGCGCGGCGTCTGAATAAAATGGAGGAAGGCCCTGGCGAGAGCGCGATTCTTGCATACCTTGTGAGGAAGTCCCGCGCGAGACTGCGATTTCGCAGATTGCACCTCATTGGCAGCACCACATTAATCCTGCACGTAGCTTGCACAACGTGTGTTGCGAGACACACATTAAAAACAAAAAAAAACAAAAAAAACACGCACACGTTGGCTAACATTAAGCAGGTGGGGGGGGGAAGCGAGGAGCCACGCATTTGGCAAGCGGGCCCTGACGGGCGGGCCGGGCGGGTCGGGCAGGCCGACCCTAACGGGCGGGGTGCGCGGACCCTAGCAGGTGGTTCGTGCGGACGGGCCTTAACAAGCGGGTCGGGCGGGCGGGGCATTGAAACGAGTCATGTAAATCGCGAAAAAAGGTTCAAGCGAGAGCATGAGTCTTGAGCAAATCGTGAAGAGGTCGCATGCACGACCGCGACTCTTGGACGTCGGGAGCGCAGTTCCTTCATACATTGCATGGAAGTCTGAGGCCAGGGAACGATCGGAAGCCTCGATCGACAGCACGATTGTCAGTCGCATGTGAGGATGCATCAGGCGGGAGCCGCTGTTGTTGCTGCAAACGGGGGACCAATGCCACATGGGGCATTGCATTAATTTTTAACAACAAAAACAGCGGGTACCGCAGAGGGGATCCCGAATGGCATTTGTTCCTAAGAAAAATCGGCGGCAACACTAGCAATCATGTTATGACTGTTCGCTCCTTTCTGCTCGCGTGCCTCCCAGCACGTGTATCCCACAACCTCGGTACCCGCCCTCTTCGTTTTCGATCGTGCCCCCACGGGGGTGTTAACAATCCTTACTGCCACGTGCATGTAGTTCAGCCCTGAGAATAGGGGAAGAGAGCCCAGATGGAACGGGGAGGGAAAAGGCGAGCACAGGCGGCCAGGTCGACAGGACGGGTTGTTGAAGCGTGAGTTTCGCGTGAATCACAAGGGAATCTCGAACGATAGCGCGGTTCCCAAGTAAATCGTGCGAAAGGCCAAAGCGAGAGCGTGATTCCTGCGTGTCGAGGGCGCGGCGTTTGAGTAAACTGCGAGACACTCCCACGCGAGAGAGCAATTCCTGCAGAACTTGTGAGACAATCCTTCGAGAAAGTGCGATTTTGGAACAAATTGCCGTTGGTGTTGAAGTTGGGGCCCAACAGCCCAGTTTGAGCATGATAATTTTCCGTGATTGAAAACAGGGTGCGAGCCTCGATGGGGGGCACTTCGCTTGAGAAACACAATGTGCACCGGTCAGGGGGGATCAACAATAATCTTTCTTCAAGAGTGGGAGCTCAACAACTGTCATTGTCAGACTGTTCGCTCACATCTCCCCGCGTGCCAAACATCATGTGCATCCCAAGCCGTCGATACCCGCCCTATTCGTCTTCGATCGTACGCCTTTTTGGGGTTAATCTTCCTTACCTGCCACGTGCACTTGGCGCAGCCTTGTTAACAGGAAGAGGACGGATATAGGAGACAAGGGAAAGCAAGGATGGAAGGAGAGAGGGAAGGGAGGGAGGAGGGAAGAGGCAAGAGGGAGGGAGAAGGATGCAACCCGAGAAAGATTACGACATTTGAATACACCGTGAGGAAGACTCACACGAGAGCGCGATTCCCGGCGAAATTGCAACGAAGTCTTCAGCGACAGCCCGATTTCTAAATAACTTGTGAGGGAAAGTCAGTCTGGAGCCGTTGTTGCTGTTGTTGTGGTTGTTGTTCTGTTGATTCTAACGAACTCAGGAACGGCGCTCTCGCTTGAGACTGTCCCGTAATCCAGGCAAGTTGATGGAGACCCGGACACGGCGACAAGGGCTCCAGTTCGATATTTCTCCATACGCATTCCGAGAGCCCTTGGCCAGAGAGGCCCCCGATTTCAGGAACGGCGCTGTCGCTCGAGACTTTTTCGCACTTCAGTCAGAGGCCGACAAGGAAGAGATTCCCCCCGAAAGGGGGTGCAATCGAAGACGAAGTGGGCAGCTATCGAGGGTTGGGGTATACGGAACGCAAGACACGCGTGCCAGTAAGAGCGAACAGTCTTAAACTTATTGTTGTTGAGTGTAGGTTACTAAACAATTATTATTGTTGGACCCCTTACAAGCAACCCGGCGCTGTCGCCGAGGCGACGGCTGCATTTTCATCGAAAATGAAACTCCCTCTCAGGCGGTTTGGGGGACCACCAAGACCGGCCCCCTAACAACAACAACAACAACAACAACAACAACAATCACTTTACCCGAACGCTCAGTGTTCTCACCAGTGCCAGGGTTTTCATGCGACGCCAGCCAATACCCCCACTTCGTGGGGGGGCAGTGCAAGCTCTACCAAATATCCACACGACTCTTCGCCACCACCCACACCCAGCTTCCCGCCCTATGACGTTCGGACACTTCACTTCGTGGCCTGCGGACGACCGTGGCTACTACACTGGCGTGGATTCGGACAGCGCGCGCGGGTGGAAATTTTGAAAAGTCGTGCAGCTGTTTTTCGAGGACCTACGGTGCGATTCGTGTGATTTTATGATGCGCGGTGCTAAAATTCTTAAGAACCCAATGGTTTTTGGAGATTTCGGCGTGCGCGCGCGAAGAAAAAACGAATGTGTCCCGCATGGTATTATTTGACAGGGATGATGGCCCTGGCAGGTGCGCAACCGTTGTCGCAGAAGTTCGAAAAAGTTGCTCGCAAAAGCCCGTTTGACAGAAATGTTTAAAAAGTGTTGGGTTTCCTACGAATCCGCAAGAGCGCGCGGGATGAGATTTTGACATTTTTTTGTTGAAAAACCATTGGTTTTTTGATGTTTTTATGTTGAAATCGTTCCGAACACTAAGCTTTTGGAAGGATTTCGTCTTGCGCGCGCGAATGTCCACTTTACCTTATTTTTTGC